TTTTTTATTAATTCTTTATTCTTCAAAGCAATATTCTGGTATTCTTGCATTCTTCTTGAGTAATTCTTCACATCCACATCCATAAAAACATCCTTTTCCAAATGATGTAATTGTTGATGGTATTTTAATTGTTCTTATTGTTGAACATTCATAAAAACAACAATTTCCTATTTTACTAACACTTGTTGGTATTTCAATACTTCTTAATGAATAACATCTATTAAAACATCCTTTTCCTATTTCATTTACACTTGTTGGTATTTCAATTGATTCTAGTGATGTACAATATTTAAAACAATAGTCTCCTATTTTACTAACACTAGTTGGTATATTAACTGATGTTAGTGATTTACATTCACAAAAACATCCATTTCCTATTTCACTAACACTTGTTGGAATAAATATTATACTTAATCTTGTACATTCTTTAAAACATTCATTTCCTATCATTTCAATATGTGTTGGTATATTGATTTCCTGTAAATCATTACTTCCACTAAAACATCCGTCTGATATTCCATAGTATCTTTCTGGTATGTTTCTTCCATATTTCTCTCGATCTTCAATTCCAAACATATTTTTATTTTCTAGTTACTCATTCTTTATATTTTGTGGAATGATGAATTATTATTTCTATTTTATTCCAATGATGAATTATTATTTCTATTTTATCGTTACATAAATGAAAAAAATATTATCATCATTCTTAATGTCATGTTATTTATATTTATTTTTTATCTAAAATTATGTTTGTTTTCTTTTCTTTCATTTTTAGTTTCGTTAATATTATTGTGTCGTTATTTTTATTTTATTATATAAACATAAATGTTGTTTCATTGGTATTTATATTTTTCTTGTCATCATTTTCTTTTTATTTCTCTTTTTGTCTTTTGTGTTTATTACCCCCATTTTATTTTCTTATTCTATTCTATTTCTTTTTATTTTTATTATCCTTCTTTTATTTTCTTTTTTGTTGTTTATTTCTTTATTCTTTATAACTTCTTTCCTATCTTCAATTTTTATATTTAAATTTAAATACTTTTCAAAAATGTTTTATTTCTTCACTGTTATGCCTCTTCTTATTATCTTTCATTCTTATCATTTTTCTTTTAATTTTAAATACAATAGAGTAAAACTAGTTAATTAAGTATTATTACAACTTGTTTCTATTATTCTTTGTTTCAATGACACTAATCACATCCATTCACTTCCCACTATAAAATTCTTTCCTTTTACTCATCATATCCTTTATGTTTTCTAGAAGTATTAGTAAAACACCTCTTTATTTTATTTATTCCTATCAATATCTTCTTAATCATTTTTACTTCTTCTTTTTTAATCCTTTTGTTTGACTTATACTTTATTTTGTGAAGGAGAGAGAATAAAGCATTACCACTATACTATGACTACTTCCTTTTTTCTTAACCACATTTTATCATATCCTTTTCATTATTTTATTTTGATTATTTAACATCATTAACATCATTCATTCCAATTGATAATTCATTAATAAACAAAAAATATAATCATTGTGACTAAATTAAAAATTATAATAATAAATAATTTTTTTTAAAGCGTAATGTAAAATTATTTATTATTGCTTTTATTCAATCATAACATTAAAAATTTATTTTTATTTAATGATGTTTGTATTTCAAACTAATAAACAAAAACAAACTGTCGTGTTAAATTATCGATAAATTTATTCATTTATTTTTAAATATTTTCTATTTCCTTTATTTCAAAAATACATTTTATGTAAAAATCAAATAAAAACAACAATAATGTTTATATAACATTCAATAAAATATTTTGTTGTTTTTCATTTAAATAAAATATGTTGTGAAGAATATTTAAAAAATGTAGAATTGTAGTTATTTATTTCAAATGAAAATGAAATGTTTTTTTAATAATAAATAACTTCAATTCATCAAATTGATAAATATTTATTTAACATGTCTAATTGTTATTTAAAACGATTATCAACTAACAAAAAACAATGAATATTAAATAAATTAAATTATTTATCATTTGAAATACAAGTAATGAAAAATACAATTTGTAAATTCAAAATGAAGAAGAATGTTTTAAAAGAAAATAATACCGCAAAATCAGAAACTAAATAAACAAAATGATTATATTGAGAAAGTGATAAATGAGATATTTGTTATTAATACATCTGTATTACAAGGCACAGAAGAATGAAAATAATGTATCCGAATAAATAGTGTTGATTATATTAAAAAAGAATAAAAAGAAATTTAAATAATTAATATTATTTTGAATTTCAATCAATGTTTTCATAAAATAATAAAACAATGGATAAAATTGTATAGAATGTTTTTCCAATATTAGAAATTTAGAGACATGTTTGTGTCGTGTTGATCAAATGTTGTTGCTATATTCATAAAGAAGTTCATGAAGAAAAGAAGAAAATAAAAGTAGATAAATAATAACAAAAATTGTTGGAAATTTTAAATGGAATAACTGGAAAATATTCATTTCCATTGTAATTTAATGAATCAAAATGTT